GATTGAACTGATTTGTCTGATTCGAGTAAAAAAACATTGATTTACCGATTTTCATATGAACTATACGATTTTTTGAGTTTTGTGCCGATTTTTATGCTGTGGTCTGGCCGGATTTTGGTCAGGTTCCTAGGTTTTTCGATTGAACAGGTTTGTTCGATTCGAGTTTGAATACATTGATTTTATGATAATTTCATGAAATCTCGATAAGAGTCAATATTATGTGATGTGAAGGGACAAACTTATTATTACTAATAATTTGTTCAAAACTAAATAAAAGAGAAATTTACAATGTTTCTAACTGTGTTTCCTAATAGATACACTATACTAAGATAAATATTATATTGAAAAAATTGAATAATTCTAATATTTTATTATTGATATGTCCAGTCAGACCATCATTGGATTAATAATGAAGAAAAGTGAGAATTTAAATGAATATTCAATGAAGAACCAAAATATTATTATCTCTATGTCGTAAATTGGTCATTGTTCATCACTAGCTAATATTTAGATTAATTCTTATAATATTAAAAATTAATTAAATTGATATAATAGGGTTCCATCACTCTCCATGTTGATCATCTAAATATTGTTTGTATTTAATAGATATGATATACATCTATTTGATGATTGCATAGAGTTCACAACCTAAAAAAAAGAATCACTGCTTAAATTTTAAAGTATGAAATAATTTTCTGATCATATAATCAAGATCGTATGTCTTGTTAATGCTAGTGAGCTTTAATCTCAACATTTTAATAATTGTTCATTGAGATGGTGATCAATAGTTTAACATTATTATTTGCTAAACGTTTTAAAATAATTTTTAAATCGCTACTAATGAAAACAAAATACTTCTGATTTCTATCTAGGGAATGCAATTGGTATCATGCCAATACCAAATTTATTGCTATATTTGGCTTATAAGCAAAGCCCAACTTTTTCTTTTAATTATTTTGATAGTTCAATATATGTATAATTGATCTACCACAATACACTGATACAGAAAGTAAAGAATTGTGAAAATAAATGCATTGTTTGAATCCTTATGCAATATCTTGAACCTTAACATGTGATATTTTATAACACGATTTACTAATTGTCAATTTGATTCGATAATTCTCTCAACATTAAGGAGAGAAATTAAAAAGTTAAAAACTATATACATAATGCATCATTATATTATATAAATCCTTATAGAAGACAATTCAAACTAGAAAACCAAAACATAATTTATATTAAATACATTTACTGATCGAAGAGATCAACAATATCTTATACAACCATTTCAAATTCTCCAACATGAATTGATGTCTTGGGAGGACAGTTCATTAATATTTAATTCGATAAATTTATAGGATGCTTGGAGCATGAACATATTTGATTCTAAGATAAAAATCTCCAAAAGAAAATGAGCAAATAAAAAGATTGTCCCATTTAGGAGACGTATACTTTTGGAGAACATGTAAACATAACTAATTATAATATTCCAAAAGAGTTTCAAGTACTTAAAATATTGAAAATGGATCTCTCTCGTTAAGTTATGTCATCGAGGAAAAGAAATAGAATGTAAAAATTAAAATTATCGAAAATATTTTGTATATAATGTATCGCTTCATATTATGAATAACAAGGATATCGAAATAAATTTGTTGAATTATACTGATCAAAGAAATAATTTGCCAAATAAAAGGACGCAATCCTAGTAAAATTAAATCTACTAAAGATATTTGAAGTTTCTAGACCTGTAGTTTGAAATTTAAAGGTATACTTGTATGAAATGTAAATGAGAAAAATGAAATCGTATCATGTAATGCACAACTCTTAACATAATAAATTTTACAAATATAGTAGTGGATGCAATCACTAGTCCATATCTTGTCATCCTAACAATGCATGAAATTTGAAATGCAATTATACACAATTCACTTGGCATGGCTATTAATCTTTTCAGTGAAGTATTTAATATACTTGAAGCATATAATTCAAGTAATGTTATCACGAGAGAAGTAAATTTGCATTGCCTTCTATTTTATTTTATTTTTTATTTTACCAGGGTTTTGTTTAATCGGATTTTCGTGGCAAGATTTTCAATCAAACAACTTTTGTAGCATACTAAAAAAAATAATACACTCTTTTTCGTTCATTAGAATTTTTCCTAATAAGATTGTAACGAGGCATATTTTTTGGGTAATAATGTTTATAACCTATAAGATATTTACCCTCAAGATGATATTCTTATATGTTACAAATTGTGTATGACTATCGAAGAGAGCAATAACACAATTTAATTTTCAACAAATCATCATTTGACTAAAGACAATCTAAGATTAATAAACATCATCTATGAAGACAATATTGATTGAAGGCTATAACTAGATAACACCAAATATGTTTCACTAGACAAAAATTTTTATTTATTGAAATTAGGAGAGCAGGTATACTATTTTTCCTTGGCTCAGGTTTTATTCCATTGAATTTTCTCGATAAAGTTTTAATGAGGTAGATATTTTGTAATGTGTCCTTAAGGGGGCCTTGTAAACTATATATTTATTAATGAATGACAATTAAATCAATTTAGTCTTAATTATTATGACTATTGTATCCTCTGTAGTTATAATTCTTCCATATAAACATGGAGTTTTATTTATCAATAAAATACACACAACTCTATTGATTTCTCTCTGTTTTTATTTCTTTCTCTTTAGTTTATAATACAGAAGAGTTTTTATATGTATTTTTAAGTTTAAGTTTAAAATTCATCAAAATCTTTTAAAACCCCTCTATTAATGGAACCCTTATAAATCTTTGATTTAGTAAGAATACCTAGATTTTAAAAGATTTAATTGAAATTCATTAAAATCTCATTTGGAGACACTAATATTTTAATTAAAATTCATTAAAATCTCAATTGAAGACACCCCTAATATAAGAGCTTGGTTAGATTCTAAAATATGTGAAATTAAATAGCAAGAGTTAAGTAACTTGATAAATCATTTTTGTTATTTTTCACTTGGAAGTGGATAATATATTGATTTAGGCCAGAATCCCATATTTTACAGGGCTGTTTGTGACTTTACTGGTCCAAGGAACAAAAGTAATGCATAGTTTGTATACATGCGAGATGAAAAATTTTAAGTACTACAATGTTCAACTTGATAGTTGAAATATCTATATTTTTTTTATTATAGATCAAGTGCTTTTATGGACAAATTGTAAATGTAACTTTACTGGAAAAGAGTTTGACCTTTGGCTTCTGGATAATTTAAAAGCTCGAAAATAGGAAAGCAAAGGAAAAATTATGTTTTACTATATTATATTCTTGTTTGGTAAAGATTAAAATATAGATTTTAATCTAAGCGTAAGTTTAAGTCAACAATTAATTTTAATCACACGTTTTATAGAGTTCACAACTTTTTAATCACATATTTAATCGACTTCTATCAAAATCTACTAAAAATCTAATTTTAATCCTAAGGACTATATCTATTATACTTAAAAGTTTTAATGTTGAAGAAATATTGTAGGATGATTATGTTATCTCTAATATTTTTCAAGTTCTTATCCATCCTTCAATTATGATTCATTATTCAATTATTATCTTGTTTAAAATATTGTACAATTTAGCTCCAGTTTGGTTTATATGAAAATCAAAATTTTATTAGATTTTAATAAAAGTAATGGAATGTGCGATTGGAAAGTTATGGATCCTCCTGAAATGTATAGTTAAATTTAATTGTTGATTTAAACTTGAGTTTGGACATGACTTGTTTCAATCCAAGTTTTAATGGAATAATTCATCTTCGACCTATACAACCTAACCCATTTTTTAACCGCATTAGTGAAAAACGTATTAGTTTTAAAATAAAAAACATTTTTTTTATGACCCATCTCAATAATAAATCACAATATGTGACCCATCTCAATAATAAATCACAATATGATACAATTTCCTTGGTATTATAGCATCATAAATTTTGCAAATTTAAACTTCAATAACTCATAAGACTTGAAGAAAACATAAGACATGCATCAATAATTCACATCACATTATGGTTTGTTTGGTTTAAAATCCTTTTTCGCATAATTATTTCCAATTCCACATTTTTATGTGGTTATAATTTTTTCTTACTTTTAGCTACACATTCTCCAAAAATTATTTGTTTGGAAAAATCCTTTTTTAATCAAACACCAAATCATTTGCTGTAGTGATTATTGAGAACTTTAAAGCAAAAATCAATTTTATTTTTCTATTTTTAAATAAATTTCAATTTTCTTGAACTTATCTCTCAAGTGGATGGGACTCCCCAATTTAGATAGCTTAGACAAAGTTCTTGACAAGGGTTCCTAAAAAAATTAAAATATGAATTAAAAAAAAAAAAGGAGAAAATGCAAACAAACAAAATTCTATCTATAATTACAAATATTACTATTATAGGCAATTTTGAAAAAAAATTAATATTTTGCGAGCGGCTTCGTGGAATTATGGACACCTATAACATCAATTACCATTGTCATCAGTGATTTTCGAAATAATTGTCATCGACAATCACCAACGATGCTGATGGTTGACAGTTAAGTTATTAGTGTAACTGATGAAAGATTACTCTTTATTTTTTTTAAATTTAACATTATTTTTTATTTCCTTAGCTATAATTCACTATTAATTAAGTTACTTTTATAAGCTATTATTTTATGAACGATAAGTTTTTTCTACAATTAGTATTTTTCATGTTTTTATTATCTTATTTATAGATGATAAGATAATAAAAAAAATTATTTTTCAATCACAATTTTTTTATAAAGTAATTTTTAAATTAATTCATAATTTTTTTTCTACATTTAAAAAAAATTACATTTTACAAAATTTATTTTGAAAACATTTTTATGTAAAAAAATGTCTCCTAGTTTTAAGGGGAAAAAAACCTTCTATAGAAAATAAAATAAAATAAAATAAAATCACAACTTATGCTTTAAAATTGCAACTTTAGCTAGTTTTGGTCCCCTATCCTTCATTTAGCCCGTCGGTCTCACTTTTATCCCCAATTTCTATTTCAGCCCCCGATTCTAGGGTTTTCCTCCATCTTCCCCCACCCTCTCCACTCACTCCGGTAATTTCTTTCTCAACTCGACTGTTCACTTTTACTGACTCATTCTTAGCTTTTTTGAATGTATGGGTTGTTATTTAATCTTTATTCATTTGTCTTATCATTCATCTGCACGCACTCTTCATTCGTAGCCTTTTTTTTTTTTCTGTCACCGGTGTTTTACAGTCAATATTGGAATTTTTATGGCATGAATTGACTTAATTGATTGCTTAATTGTAATTTTCCGGCTTCCATGGACAGTTATAGTAATGTTGTTCGAGTTACGATTCTCTGTCACCGTTTCTGATTTTTCATCATCCTGAGGCTGATCTCAATTTTTGATTGTTAATCTATTTATCACATGAAAAACATTTACTTGTATCCTGTGTTTTTTATGTGAAGAACTATTATGATAGCCACATGTTAAATATATTTTTTATTCGTGTAGTGAAAGTGTGAATAAAACCCAAGGAGAGTAGTTTTCAGCAGTGGTGGACCCCTTGTGTTCACATTTTGGATACTGGACTGCTAATTTAATTGCTGGTCGTCTGGTTCAAGGAGCAAGCTCTCGAAAATACTCTGGTCGAGAGTTTGTTGTGTTCTCCATTTTTTCTATAGCAATTTTATGGTATTTAAAACATTAGTTTAGCTCCTAGCCTCCTACTCCTATTGTGTGTGCTTGTTTTAAATTAATGTTTTTATTGTGGTCATATGATGTTAGGTTTTCCTTGCATTAAAAAGTGTAGTTTGTAACATTATAAATATTTGTGATTGGTTGACTACTGGTTCATTTGAGTCGGTTCTTGTCAGCTTAAAAGTTTCACCAAGAATGTTTACATAAGGATAGTTGTGTAATTTGAAGCTTGATATAACAAAACTCTTTTATAATGTGGAGTGACAAGTTAAAAATGAATTTATGCTCTGTGTTTTGATATTTGGAATGATGACAATATGACCAACAAATGTGGTGGCAACCATTCCTATGAATATGTGATGTAATCGTTTCACGTTTCACCAAGATGGCTGTTGCTTTATTACGTACCTTCCTTTTCTTTTCCTTTTCTCCATATCGAAATGAAAGCTGAGACTGGTTTCCTTACTTGCTTGTTTTTACTTCTTGATTGTATCATGCATACTGTTGAGATTAGTAATTGTTCTTGTGTCGCCTTAGATATGTTTCTGAATATCCTAAAGTTTATATTTGGAATGGGAAATGAACTTGGTGGCAATCTGTATTGAATGACTATGGATAACTTCTTAATGATTATCTGACATCTTTATATGCTCACCATGTAATTCACATTAACCAATTTCGATAAGCATTGTATTGGACATTGGCTTCTAATGTTAGCGGGGCAGAGCCATCGGGGGAAAAAAAAAAATTACTGGGCTGATATTACCGTAATTTATTTATTTTTTATTAATTTATTTTATTATTATTATTATTATTATTATTATTATTATTATTTTATTCCCTTGAAAAAAATTTAGGTTTGGGTGGCTGGCCTAGGCTAAATCCCAGACCTATGTTACTTCTGATAGTTTTGGGAAATCATTGGAGTTATAATTTCTTTCTCCAACTTCTTATCTGCACATACCTTGAAAATGGATGAAGAGGAAAGGCCACTTCTTATTTGAATTGGAAAGAAATAGAAACCGTAATAGATCTTTTAGAAGTACAAAAATTGGAGGTGATATCTTTTTTCCTTTTCTGATTCTTTACTTTATCTGCTGAAGATACTTTCCATGACAAAAGGGAAGCTTATATTGATTTGCCAGTCTAGTGGCGAGTTTATTACCAATGATGATGGGACCTTATCATACGAGGGAGGAGAGGCAAATGCTGTGAATATAAATCAAGATACTTCTTTTGAAGATCTGATAATAAAATTGGCTGAAATGTCTAATTTAGATCACCGAACAATTTCGATCAAGTACTTTCTCCCAGGAAACAGGAGGAATCTCATCACTTTGAGAAATGACAAAGACTTGAAAAGAATGATTGATTTCCACGGGCATTCAGTGACTGCTGATGTTTTTGTCAATGGTAAAGAAGGATTTGACCGTGATGCCATCAAAATACATGCTAGCAGGTATATGTCTGAGGTGCATCTTGTTTATCAAGTACTTCCACACATTTATTTTGTTGTCAGTATGAGTTCTCTAGTGATTCCAGCCTCTTGCCAGCCACTGCACACCACCTTAGAGAAGATTTCATTCGAAAAATTTCGGCAAACCCCTACACTATACTACACTTTCGATAGTGAAATTTTAAATCTCTCTGTTCAATGATGTGATGATTGGTTACTGGTACCTGGCTGGTAAAAATATTTTTTGACATGCCTGCATGTAAATACATGAATTCCATTTGCAGGGAAAATGTTGTAAAACTGGCAGAGACTGTGAATCATGTTGGCGCACCCTCAACTGCTCTCAATACAGTTGCCCTTGATGTTGAACCTCTCTCTGCTCATGCTATTGCTGAACTTGATGCTTATGCTCCTCTTCATGCTCTTTCTGGTTCGGCAGCAGCATCTGATGCGGACGGCGCGGATGGCTCAAGCGGCAGTCATGCATCGACTGCCTCATCTCCATCTTCTGAACATGAGTCTGATTTTGATTCTGATTATAAGCCACGTGTTTCGGTTGCTTTTGACATAAATTCTCCAAGCCCAACTGGCTTTGATACAAGTAATAGCCCAGCAGATGCAGTTAAAAAGCGTAGGCGCACTGCCTCGTGGAGGAGTGGTGCACGCGGTCCCACTGTGGTTGCAGTTAGTGATGATAATGACGTAGAAAGAAAATCGCGGAGAAAGAAGAACCAAAATAAAAGTACTGTTGCTGTAAATGATGATAGTGTCTCAGCTATTGCTTTCTATGATGATGATTTGCCAGAGAAAGTAGTTGCTGAATGGAAAGAGTGTATTACTGGTGTGGGGCAGGATTTCAAAAGTGTGAAAGAATTTCGGGAGGCACTGCAGAAGTATGCTGTTGCTCACCGCTTTGTTTACAAATTGAAAAAGAATGACGCTAACCGTGCAAGTGGCATATGTATTGCTGAGGGCTGTTCTTGGAAAATTCATGCATCTTGGGTTCCTGCTGATGAGTCATTTAGGATAAAAAAGTTTGACAATACACATACGTGTGGAGGGGAATCTTGGAAGAATGCTCATCCATCCAAGAATTGGTTGGTAAATGTTATAAAGGACAAATTACGAAATTCCCCACATCAGAAACCCAGGGAAATTGCTAAGAGCATTTCAAGGGACTTTGGAATTGAATTGAGTTACACACAAGTTTGGCGTGGAATTGAGTATGCCAGGGAGCACCTTCAGGGTTCATATAAAGAGTCATACAATCGTTTGCCTTGGATCTGCGAGAAGGTGATCGAGACAAATCCTGGTAGTTTCGCCAAGCTGATAACTGATGACGAGAAAAGACTTAAATGCCTTTTCATCTCATTTCTTTCCTGTATAAATGGTTTCCAGAATGGTTGCCGTCCCATTCTATTTCTTGATGCGACTTCTCTGAGATCGAAGCACCAAGAAAGTTTGTTAACAGCTACTGCAGTTGATGCAGATGACGGTTCCTTCCCTGTTGCATTTGCAATAGTCAATGTTGAAAATGATGATAACTGGCATTGGTTTCTGGAGCAACTAAAATGTGCAATATCAACATCACAACCCCTAACTTTTGTCTCAGATAGAGAGATGGGATTAAAAGAGTCAGTGCTAAAGGTATTTGAGAATGCTCATCATGGTTATTCCATGTACCACCTTGTAGAAAGTTTCAGGAGAAACTCGAAGGGGCCATTCAATGGGGAAGGGCGAGGTGCTTTGCCTGGACTGTTTCTAGCTGCTGGACATGCTGCTCGACTCAATGTTTTCAAAAAGTTCACCGAGCAGATTAGAGAGATTTCTCCAAATGCATATGACTGGGTTATTCAAATTGAGCCTGAGCAGTGGACAAGTTCGCTATTTAAAGGTGAACCATATAACCATATCATACAAAATGTAGCAGAACCATATGCTAAGCTGATGGAGGAAATACGGGAATCAACTATAATGCAGAAGATAGAAAGCCTAATATACACGGTGAGTGAATTGATAAATACTCGTCAATCAGAGTCAAGTAAATGGACTACAAAACTCACTCCATCCAAAGAGAAAAAGATCCAGGACGAAGCCTTTAAAGCAGAAAATCTTCAAGTGTTTATGGCATCAGATATTCTATATGAGGTTCACGACGAATCTACTCATGTAGTGAATATCGAGAAACGGGATTGTACTTGCCTAGAATGGAAAGATTGTGGGTTACCATGTCGACATGCTATTGCTTCCTTCAACATTAGTGGGAAGAGTGTGTACGATTATTGTCCAAGACACTTCAGTGTTGATGCTTACAAGTCGACATATTCAGAGTCCATAAACAATATTCCTGAAATTGGTGCACCAGTGGGAACCGAAGAGACTGATTCTGACGCCATGCTTGTGCTTCCTCCTCCCCCTCGATCACCAGATCAACAACACAAGGCGAAGATCAAAATTGAGGATCCAGATAAGAGGACAGTCACTTGTTCGAAGTGCAAGCAACTCGGGCATAACAAAGCATCATGCAAGTCCAATTTGTAGGTTTGTTTGATTTAGCAGCTTGGATGTTGGCATGTGAGGGCAGACTTAAATTATCAGGAACTGTTTTAATTTATGATTACTGCAGCTGTAATGGTACTGTTAAGTTTCCAAATAGTTGTGTTTAGTGAGCTATGTTTAGTTGTTTATTGTGCCTTTGTTTCGTAGAAATTTTTTAATAATAGATTTTGTGAAAAGTAATTTCCTTTGGAGAATATGTGGTGAAAAGTATGGAAAACTCATGGAGTCATGCGAGAAATTATATTATTGAGAGAATGCGTGGTTGAAAATGAATTTTTGCAAAAATAGTTTTCGAAAGTGAGAGCAGGGCAAGAAAATCGAAAAAATGACCCAACCAATCAAATAGAACAAACTTGGGCTGGTTCGGGTCGGTTTGATAGGGTCGTTAATTTGATTTGGTTTGGTTTGGTTTACTTTTAAATAAAATCATGATGGACTAGTTGTACCATAGTTTGAAGCATCAAACCAATGATTAATTGAACCAACTTAACCAACTTGCATGTTTAACTTTTTTTTTTCTTTTTTTCTTTTAAAGAAAAATAAAAATCATTAGATAAGCCTTAATCTCATATCCATACTTCAATTCCTTCAAATTTATGACATTATCAGTAAGTAATAGCATTGAGAATTTCCTTTAACAAGTTTATTAGGTTATGTCTTTTTTCCTTATTTAGACAGTTGAGCTAGATAATGTATAAAAGGCAACAAAATTCTGTTGATCCATCTTTAATAGTTTAATTTTATTTGTTAGTAAATAGTTATTATAATATAAAATTGTTTTAATTATTTTAGTTATTGTAATCTAAGTAAGCTCAAAATTCGGACCTTTAAAAAAAAAAATTCAATTTGGACTAAAAGTCTAAACTGACTAATCGAATAGAATCAAACCAATTCGATTCTATTTAAGAGTTAGAATGGGTTGATTTGGTTGAAATTCATTCAAACCAAATTTGATTTTGATTTCGGGCTTGAGTTGTAACTGACCTGAATCAAATCGCGCCCAAGCTTAAGTAGAATAGAGGTTATATTTGCTTCCACCCTTCTTTAATTTTCCCCTTTCTTTTGGCGGTTAGGGTTCTATATTAGACATGATCCCTTCTTCTCAGGGAAATGAGCGAGAATTCTCCGATCCACACGAGGATTCGTCCCAAACAGGGCGGGAATTCCTTGTATAATCGGGAAACATGCGGGAAATGGGATCAAATTGTTTTGCTTAGAGTCACTCCCATTCCCATTCCCATCTAAACAAAAATTATTTTTTATTATCATATTTATGTATAAAAATAATATAATTCAAATTTTTACAATATTTTGAAGTTTTTAAAATAATTTAAGTGATTTGATGAAAGAAAACCACTACTCAATGTTAATGAAAGAAAGCCCTTTTATCTTTATCCCATCTACCCAAAAGGGGTTATGCCTAAGCACATTCTTATTTGTTTGAACAAAAGGACTCTTATATTGTAGATGCGTTATGAAAGACATTTATTAGCAGCCCCATTTCTTTTTAATCTAAGTGAGTTGAAGTTATTGCCCACCCAATAAAAACTAAGCACATGGGATGGGACACCGGACACATTTGATTTGAACCTAAAAAAATAAAAAATATATTTATCCACTTATTCTTCAATTGTACAGTTCCCATGTGACACAACTTGAGTGACCAAAACCAAATACTACATTTCCACCTTATTTGACAGAAACACTAGAGTTAGTTCAACAAATGAAAACCATATGTAGGGGAGGACCTACTTAAGGTCCAGCGGGGTCGATCATCCCCACTCGATTTTCAGATTTTCAATTTTTCTCCAAATTTTTTTTAGGTTTTCAGATTTTTTTCCCAATATTTTTTGGTTTCGCCTCCACTGGACTTCCGTCTTGAACCCGCCCTTGACCATATGTCCAAAATGAACGTCGAAGAAACTGGTTCTTTTACTTGATCTATTTCTTTTTGTGTATGGTGTTTGATGAAGATAATTACTTTATGTACAAAAATAAGTTAATTACGTGCAGCTGACCTACTTCTTCCACATTGCATGCATTTATGTTGCTATTAGGTAAAAATGGTTACAACAAACCATTTCACAGTATACGCGTTTACATAAATACATATGGTATTCAACATTGTTTGAATCTTTGATTCCTTCATTACAACAAGTTATTAACCACTCAAATTGAATAATTACGATACAGAAAAGGAGGTAGAAAAATGGCGGACCATCAAAGAATTCATCCAGTGGAGGTCTACCAAGGAGCTCCACCTCCACGCCCGTCGGCTCCTCTAGGTTCTATTCTTCGATTAGACAAAGGCGAGCCACAACGGCAGGGGCCGCGTCATATTCCAATGAGACGCAATGTTACCTTTCCAGTTGTGCCGCCACCGCCACCTAAGAAGAAGAGAAGCTGTTTGTGCAAATGCATATGCTGGACACTTAGCTTATTCATTCTCCTACTCATAATAATTGGAGCTACTATTGGCATTCTTTACCTTGTATTTCAACCCAAGCTTCCCAAATACTCAGTTGACAATCTCAGAATATCAGATCTGACACTCAATTTCGACTTGAGCCTCTATGCGAGGTTCAACGTAAAGATCACTGCCTATAACCCAAATAAGAATATCGGAATATACTACGAGAAAGGAAGCCATTTGAGTGTATGGTACAAGAACATAAACCTGTGCCAAGGATCAATTCCCAGATTCTACCAAGGTTACCAGAATAAGACAGTGCTAAATGTGGCCTTGAGTGGCCAAAATCAATATGGGAGGACTCTCCTCAAGGCATTACAGGAGGAGCAACAGACTGGAAGAATTCCATTGGATCTCAAGATTAATGAGCCAGTCAGCATCAAACTCAAGACTCTGAAACTGAGGAAGGTGAAGATTATAGGCACCTGTAAGTTGATCGTTGATAGCCTGTCGACTGATAGTATTATTAGCATCAAAGCCAGTACTTGCAATTTTGGACTCAAGCTCTGAACACTTTTCTAATGTCTTAAGCATATAAATTTTTCCATTCCAGGATAAACAGTTTACTTGCACAGCGTATCTGCATGTTGAAAAGCTAAATAATTTATCATTTCTAATTTGTTTTCCTGATCTCGAAACTAAGTCCTGTCATTGAATCTATTTCAAAAGAAACTAATATAACTATATCTGTCAAATTCGTTAGGGGTGAAAAAGACTTGAGGATCCGTTCTATATTTTATAGAGAATAAAGGGAATTTTATTAGTACCACATAGAAGAAGATTACAAGGAGTGCTTCTATGCATAGAACAAAGGAAAAACTAAATAATAAAAATCAGAAACATACCGAGTTCCATTGTGGTTGCAATTCCAGAAGAGCTAAACTATTCAACGAACCACAAACTATGTCCCATGAAAATGTACAACATAATGAACCTATCTTACAAAGAAATAAGGTAGGTAATGCTGGTCAAAAAGTATAGCATCCTTCTCTGGCTAGATGCAACATGTTATAACCCTGGCGATGCAACGAGATATCCAGTCAACAAAGCAAGAAAAACAAATGATTCCCAGAGGATGGTATATGATTAGCACCAAGTGACCATAAATTCCGTGCAGAACATACAATGGATGAAACAATGGAGATGTGGTTTACTGCTCTTCTAACATATATGATTTTCTGTTTGCATAGGAGTTAGATGCTAGTCGCCAATTAGTGCCCGTGGTCTATGCTCTACTACAAACAGAGACATTCCTGTCTGTGAAACAGCTCTGACGAAAGCCATGTTTGCAGTTACAGTAGGAGCATGCCAGTAGTCTCCAGTACCAAAAACTACCTTGTTTTTCAAGGCCATTTTTCTGGTCGTCGGAAGGTTCATCAATCGTGTTGAAGCACAATCAGGCACTACCCTGTCCCAGTTATAAGCTACTCATTAACAAAAATACAGATTAAAAAAACAATAACAATAGCATCACTGTCAATATGAATATAATGCCAATTTGGGGGCAGTGAGTGAAGAAATGATGGAAAGACCACGTCTACTGGAAGGAAGAAACTGTAAACTTAAATTGGTGTTAGAACTCACTTGAGGAACTTCAGAAAGTGGTTGGCTCTTGATATCTCATTAGGACCACCGCACATTGAGATAAGCTCCTCAAATTCTGAATGAACGCTTTCACATATAATACCTATCTTTCCTGATATTACACCAGCCAGTTCCCCATGGATCGGGTTCTGTATTTCGGAGTTGACCTAGCAAGACATCAAAATTTTTACATTCATCATATTATGTGGCATATATGATCACTATACAAGAATAAGAGAACAAAAATTCCATCTCACAAGTTTAGACTACGTTGTAACAGCAGAAGCCAGTAATACAGAAGGATAAAATAAAAAAACACTTAAAAAGAAATAATAATTTCCCACAACTTTATCTTTGTTGAAGTCAATATATCAAATGAGCTATTTTATATCGCTAGAAGAGAAACATTAACTTAACAGAACAGAGTGAAATTAATTAAAATCAATTGTAAACTCAAAATAACAATTATTTGACATGGGTAGCAGCACTCTGTGAGTGAATATGCATTCTATAAGTAATTTTTCAGTTTTGAACTTTTTTAGTCTTTTGAGCAATTTAATTAAGTCACTTGTATTAAATTAAAATAGCTTGCCACTGACTTGTCACAATATATTCTCTGCTGAAATCTGTAAAAGATAAGAGTAACGGCATTGGCAGAGATACTCGCATATTTAGTCATTGTGCTTCGGAGAACCGAGAATCTGTGAGTGGGTGGTATAAAAAGCTACTTTTAATTTTCAAATTCATTTAGCAAAGATTGTTGCACGACATTGCTCTAGTTTACGATTTTGCTTTAGCCAGATTATAAATAAGGGTAGAGTGGTGAATGTATATATATGGAATGCCTAACAAGAAAAAAGCTATGAATATTTTCAACTGGCCAGTTCTCTTTTCATAAACTAATTCATCAGTTGAAATTCATTATGTAAAGGACTAAGGACTTCATATGTTTCTCTATACACAGTTAGGAACTACAACAAATGTAATATATTTTCTAGTCCATATTAGAGCGATAGTTCAATAGTGAACTTGAGATGATGAATTTAGATGCATAAATATTCCCACACGGGCCACATCATGCTGTAGATTCACCTAACAGTAAGCCTGAAGGATGTTAAATGCAGGAGTTAGCAAATAACAGCTTCCATTGATGGATTCTCAGTAGATAAACATTATGGTTTTGCCTAAGAAGTAAACAGTACAATAATAGAACAAGAATGCATTTCTTATAACGATGAGAAACGATTTCTTCGAAACATTACAACATTGTTTCCCTTAGATCATACCTGTGCAATCACGAACTCATAGTTGCCTTTAAATCGACCCCTCAATTCGCTCTCTGGTTTAGCCAAAAGTTTCTCAGTCCCTCCATTACTGATTCCTGACACGATAGCAATCATTGCTGTCGTATCAAAATTAACTAATTTGGCTCCAATCCCATCAAACAACTCCTTTGATAACCCTTCCTCAAGCCCAGTATACATATCCAAAGGGCAGCAGCAGCATTTCAATCCAGAAACCAGAGAACAGAAAGACGTGCCCAAATTCGAACCACAGGACTCAATGTGCTTCTTGCAAGAGGATAGGATATCTTTCCCTGCAGAATCCAAAAGATGTTTGTCATTCATCCCAAAGCCATCTGTTTCTACCCTTATTTGAAGAACACAAGACTTTGGGAATGACCTTCCAATTAGATTCACACTTGTCCAGTCTTCCTCTAATTCTAACTCTTCATACGAAAATGACTCAAGTTCTAATTTAGTGGCTCCAAATTCATCCCTGAATTTTTGACTATCGCCATCATCAAGTCCATTAGCAAAGAAGAAGATGATAGAAGATGGCCTTAGCGTTACAGGAGACTCGTTTGCCGCCTCAAGTAGTAATCGAATTCGTGTCTTTAAACCTTCGTTTCTGTCCCAAAAAATATATCTGGGGTTCCTATCCGAGACAACAAACCACACAGGGTTTCCATTCAAACTACATACGATATCAACATAGATCCTTTTCGAAGGCGACAGAACAATAGGCTTGCAAACGCGCGATACCCCAGTTACGAATGGCTGCTGAAGAACGTGCACAACTGCCTCCAGATGCCCAATATTGACACTGCCACGAATTCAAATCATGAAAAATTGTTTCAATTCAAGCAAATATTTACATCTTCGCATCATATGTGCAATCATTACAATGTTTTTGGAAAAAAAAAATCCAGATTGTCATACCTGAGAGGGGAAGAAGGAAAGGGATGAGAGAGGCGGTGAAGAAAAGAGAGCTCGGATTGGATTAGTTTGAGAAGGGTAGTTTTTGATGATAAATTGGAGAGTTTCTCGGAGTGAATGATTCGTTGTGTAAGAGCACTGCATCTTTTCTTTGCTTCTTCCACTGCTGCCATGGCTGCTCTTTCCATGCTTCCCCCTTCCATTCTATACTCTTGAGGAAATTGTTGTAAATCACCGGATAACCCATCCATATTTACAAATTGACCTTTGACCGATTTTTTAATTAAAAAAAAAATCGAATTTAAAGATTAAAATATCAAAATACCCTTAGCTCTCACAAAAACCGAATCTCGCAAAACTGAAAAAGCAAGGACAGTTTCCAGTCGGTCGGAGAAGTTGCTATCCATCGCCGGCGAACAGTCTTGTCAAGGTAACCATTATTTGGTTGGATTAATGTTTAGATTTTGGTTAAAGGTGTTAACGATTTATTTGTTGGAGATTTTTTCAATATTTTTTTTTATATAAGTAAAATGGGGTTGTATGGTGTAAAAAATATTTGGTTGTTTGAATTTGGAAGCTTTCCTCGTCGGAAATGGTGATTTTTTGGTGAGAAATCCTTGAAGAAGGCCGGCTGCTGGTGACACAGTCGGCCAAACTAGCGGTTTGGGCCGATTGTCGGCCCACTTTTTTTTTTTGCCTAATTTTTTTCACATATAATTTAATAATTTAATTTTAAATAATTTTTATTATTTGGTTTTAATAAATAATAAATTATTTAGTGTGTCAAATTTAAATAAAATTGTTACAACTAAATTTAAATAAAACTTTTATATTTAATTTTTGTTTTAATATTTATTTTTATTTTTTCATTTTTGGTAAATAATAATTTGAAATAATTGTTGGGAAATTTTTAATTGTAATTTGAAATAATTGTTGAAAATTTAATTTGAAATTTAATATTTATTTTTTATTTTTATTATTAGTTTTTGATAAATAATATTATTTTCATTCATCGAATTTAAATATTTTTTGAACTTAAATTGATTAAAAAAATTGTGATAATTGGGAAAAATTGACATTATTGATAATATGATAAAAATTTTCACATTATTGATGATTTTAATTATTATGAATCTGCGTTTTGCGTATTGTAGTTACAATTTCGTTCGCTAAATTTTCTGTTATTACTATTATCACTTGTACAATGTTCTAACATTTTGAATTTTTACGAGATGAATTATCATCTTGACGCAGAGTTGAGACAGATGTTAGGCAAAGTTACGTGGAATAGTAGCTTTGATTGTTTCACAGCTGTGTTAGAGTTGCTTGATGATTAGCATGCTGATACGCTGCGCCAGTCTTTCCTGTGGCCTTTGTACCCGTTGAGAGATATGCAGTATTCGGGTCAGATTATTGATGCACTCCTATGTCGATTGCTGAGTCCAGTCGACAGCTACACCATCCATTTCGCAATCGGGGGTAAAATCGCTAGTTTTTCGATGTTCGAGTTTGCTCTGATTACGAGATTAAAGATTACGGGCGATGAAGCAGCTGGTGATAGGACTCAGAGAAGAAATAGGCTTCATGACGCTTACTTTGAGGGACAGGGTACTGTGCTTCTTACACAGTTGTTGGACGCAATCAGGAGGTGTGATCAGATGTTAGACAGACTGAAATTAGGTCTGGTCTACATCCTTGATAGCGTGGTGCGGTGTCACCATAAGAAAACTGCGATCGACCTCTTCCATCTGGAGATCGTTGACGACATCGATCGTTTTAACGACTATCCGTGGGGTCGAAGATATTTTGAGGACACTGTACACGTCTTTACCAGATTGCACTCGAAGCCGAAGGGAGTCATGCGTAAGTACGACACCTATGGATTGCCCCTGGCGGTGCAGGTAAATGGTTAACATAATGAATGTTAAAATTATTTTCATATTGAATTTATATATAATAACTGTATGTGTTGCATATCTGAGCGTTTGAGGCCGTCTCCATATTGGGTGCCGGCTTTGCGAGGGGAGGGGAGACATGCTGCCCTCGGATGCACCATTGGAGAACATCTCGATCGGAGGAATGTCCCATTGTGAAACAGTTATCGACTATCCTAAACGACCCTCAGGTGAGTATTATGCATTTGTAATTTATATTGTGCGTGATTTAACATCTGATTGCATGATCGTTAACTAGTTCAAATGTTAATATGTCAGCTTGAAGTCATAACTGAGTTAACGCCGTCCATGGGGGAAGAGACTCAGGGTCTTGTGCGTGAATTAGGCATTTCGCACACCGAAGACGACCATATGTCCGATCCGATCCACGATCGGGATTGTGTGAGCGAATTGAATAAAATCTATTGATTACCGTTTTGTATGAGTTAGCATTTACGGATTAAGTTAATAATTTGTAATGTTGTTGCTTGTGTAGGAGCGTGATCCAGTTGATCGACGATCACCTCCGTCGAGGGCATCTCCTCTGCCTCTCCCGTCCAGAGACCTTTCATGTGGATCTCCCGCATGTAGTCAGGGACACTATTTTGGTGATCTATACGCCCGTCTGAGCTGATTTATAGAAGGGCAGGTCGACGGGCTGCATCGAGAGATGATAGAGAGGGTTGATGATCTGGGACGACAGTTGGTAGGAAGGGTCGAAGGTTTGTTGAATGAGATTGCAGCACTTCGGGGTGATATAGCCGGTAGGCGATGGGTTGACGGAGACGGTGATCGAGGGGGTGATCGAGGGGGTGATCGAGAGGGTGATAGGGACGGGGGTGATAGAGATGGGGGTCTCCGGCAGTCATACATACATGATGATGATGCATGGGAATCGTTTATTTTATCCGTGGAGCGCGATCGACGGGAGCATGACAGAGGAAGGGGGCTCGTCGGGGAGGGTGACGGTGGCAGATGAGGGAGTGGCCCCGTCGGGGACGGAGACGATGGCAAATGTGGGAGTGGGCCCGTTGGGGATGGAGATGGTGGCAGATGTGAGAGTGGCAGATGAGGGAGTAGCCCCGTCGGAGACCGTGGCAGATGAGGGGATGGAAGACGTGGTGAGCCCTAGGGTGGATGAGGTGGCAGTGTATAAAGCAAAAAATCGTGCTGTTGACATGCCGGAGACAGTGGTCGGCAAGAGGTCGAGAGTGCCATCACAATACGTCGTCTTTTCCTTTACGACTGAAGCAAAGAGGAGGAGGTTCATCAATGGGAGGTACCCCATTCTGTTCCGGGAGATTGACCATGCGAAGTGGAAAGCATTTGAGGCTGAGTGGCGAAGAATGTTGCTCGGGTAAGTATTGTATGATTTAGTAGACTAGAATTACTCGTTTATGCTTCGTTTAACATTTTTTCTATTTTATTTCCAGAGCCACGCACATGATAGCCGGAAGGACGATATTGGACGCATACAAGTGGTTCCATGATATCACCACTCAGGGGGCTTGGCTCGTCGACGATGTAAGTGAAGTGTTATTGTTACTTTTTGTATACGTTATGTTTAATTTGGTAAATGAAATAAGTATTTATGTTTTTGTTTTCTTGATGTAGTACATCGACATGGCCATGAACTTGTTGCGCGATCGAGTTGAGAGATATCCACAATCATTCCACAAGCCTGGCCGCATAATACTGAACACCGAGTTTTTTCGTGCCGTTACCTCTTGTGCAGCTTTGAAGAGCTTTACCTCTTGTGCTGGGGCTAGCACGCTTGTGCAATTATGTGATTTCGCACATCGATCGTGAAACCACTGCTGCAGCTTCGTACGGATATTCTCAATTAGTGCGAGAATGGGTAACTCTCGATCCCTCTTAAATAATGCATTGAGAGACTCCGCGTTGTTTGACGTCATCATATTGTATCGATGTCTTGGAAAATATGAGCGCGCCCAATGTTCAATCCCCATTTTCGTTAGATAGTCCCATGCCGGGAATGATTTGTTTCCTATTTCAACTATGTACCTATTACACTCTTCAATACTGTAAGTTTCGGCCGCTCTCCTAAACAATGAAACGATACCTTTGCCCCGATACCTGGTCTTCAAGTTACCTTGTATATGGTACATGCAATACCCACGATGTGCATCGGGAAAAACTTCAGCAATACCATTTATTATAGACTGTCCCCGATCGGTGACAAATGCAAGGTCCTCGACTTCTCCGATTACTTCCCTTAGTTTTGTGAAGAACCAACGCATCGACAGATCATTCTCATTATAAATTATGCTGAATGCAAGAGGGTAAATTTGAATATTGGCATCTTGACATGTAGCAATAATCAACTTGCCTTGGTATTTGGATTTCAGAGTTGTACCGTCGACTAGAATTAGGGGTTGCATAGCATTTCGAAATCTCCGAATGCATTGTCCAAGGGTCATAAAGAAGAATTTGAAGCAGTTATTGGCCTCCGTCTCAATAAAAAAATGTCAAGCCAGTATTAATTTTCTCCATATTATGGCAATACCTGGCCAATTTAGCATAGCTTTCCTCTGTCGAGCCCATTAAATCCTCCAATTCGCATTATTTGGCCTTCCAGGTCTTCTGGTAGCTCATGACTACTCCTTACTCTCGACGAACATCATTAATGATGTCCAATGGTCTGTAGATTGTCCGTGGATCCTGATGCTTGTACATTATCTGTCGACCAATAAACCTAGCTCGGGCTTGCTTGTGATCATTGCAACAAACTCTCACTTCACAAGTATGTTCTCGTGTATATTCGCGAATTACGAAATACTCATTCGTGTCCATCTTTGTTGCTCGCAAACGCCAACTGCAACTATCATCTACACATGATAGCGTCAACAATGACCTATTCAATTTTTTTCACTCTAAATTCGAAGTTGTATTTTAGTGTAATTAGGTGCACGGTTTCTTGCAAATCTTTCTTCGTTTCAAACAGTTGCTCGACATACAAATCCTCATTATCAGGAACCACACAAGAGGAGTTAGAGGATGGTCCACTCGATCTAACCCCCGAGGTGCCACCCTACTCATATCTCTGTCGGGATAAAGCAATCAAGTCCTTGTTTGTAAAAGTATTTGCATTTTCATTCTCGTTGTCACGAGCAGCGAAGGGGATTTTGTGTGCAACTATCTCTAGAATAACCATATCATCTTTACGAGCTATCTCTACCGTATCCCAAAAATTATTCGCATTGTGATCCCCACCTCCCGAGTCTACTTGTTCATCTTCGACGACATCCTTCCTTACTAAAGTCACGCAAAGAGGAGTCATGTGCTTATTGTTCAGTTCAATCAGATAATTCACTTCATCAACAGAAGAAATCATTATATGTTGAATCGGAACCGATGCATGCTCGCTGAATTTAAATTTAAATTTCATGTTGCACTGAGAAGGATCAACATTCAACTTGTTCTGTAAATCATACGATGTACGTGATGATATGGAAATTGCGATACCACCACGTTTATCACTTGTCCTTTTCCATACTCATTGATCTCTTTCGTCTAATTCGAAATCATCAAAGTAACAAATTGAGACTACAACTATATCTGCATGTCGAAACAGAATTTTTAATTACAAGAAAAATATCAACAGCAATAAAAATAATCCAAAAAAGGGGAAAAAGAAAACAGTTGGCAAACAGTCGGCTGTTTAAACCGCCTGTTAAACAGTCGATCAAATAGTAGGCCAACAGTCGGTCAAAACAGTCGGCTGTTTGACCGACTGTTTGGCCGACTGTAACAGCTAGTCAAACAGTCGATTCACCGACGCCAGCATAAATATGCAGATGAAATTTTTTCGAAAAAATACTTAAAAAATTATAGATCTATTACATTTTTTCTACTAATAATTAAATATTGAAATACAATTTATCGATTTAAACATACAATAATTTAACGAAAATAAGATTAAATCTGTGTATATAAACTTACCGAACCGACGAGATTGATGTCCACAAATTTTTCGACTTTCGATTTCGATAAATTTTTAAGTTTCTGCAGTTGAAGCAGATGAAGGATGAGAGTGTTTTATTTATCTATATTGGAGTAAACAGATAAGAAATGTAGGAAGTATTTGATTTTTATTTGTTAAGTGAAAGGATATTCATGTCTTTTTAAAAAAGCAACTTTTGTAATTGTATAATGTATTTAAGGGTATTTTTGTCTTTTAACATTGGATAGGCCATTTTCATAATATCCCTTTGTTGAGAAGTCAATATGGAATTTAAATAATTTGACCAGGTTAATTTTAAAGTACCCCTATACTCTTCTCTGTGTGAAGCAATCAAAAGGAAAATTGCTCTAAAGGTATCTAACCTATTGTTCGTGAGATGATCAAGTTGGTCCTCCATCTTCCATTGTTCATTTCTCAGCAACTAAAATTCTTCATAACTCTACGAAAGTAGATTTTATTTCTGAACAAGATCGTTTTTACAGAAGTTAGTGGAGAACGAGACTACTTAAAACTCATCCTATTGGTTAGTGGTAGTCAATGAAAAGGACTAGTTGCTGAATGTAGAACTATAGAAGAACTATTTAGAGAAGTTCACTTGATACATAAACTCATACATGTTTGGAAAGTGTTTAAACGTTATTTAATTAATATATAGATGTAAATGAATAATTAAAGTGAGTAGCATTTGTGGATGTCTCGAACTATGTAAACAAGAATGTCTTGAGTTTTTATAAAGACTTCATAAACATAAGCCTGTTGTACACTTAAGACATAATTGTGCTGATTTAGTGCACTTATTGAGTAGGCTTGTTATAGAAGTTCAAATTATACTTACTATAGATTTTGCTAAAGTGTCTTCAAATCTTGATGTCCTATTTGCCACCAACAAATCTTGACAACTTATGCTGTCAATTTTTTCTGTTTGATCAACAAAAAATGAAAATGTATACATTTTCGTGATCAACACATGTTTCTTAATGTTATCATGTATTTGCTGGATTTTAGTTATGTGCAAAAATTTGCTGGTTTATTATGTAATTAATGATTTAAAGTTGTATTGTTCGTTGAAGTTTTTTGACTAGTAGAGAGGAAAAGAAATATGTGGATAAAGGAAAGATTAAAAAAGAAATAAGAAGAGGAGAGATATAAGTACTTTGTCAAAATATCAAACTTAAATTTTAATAATACATTTCATAAGATTCACAATTATTACCTACTAATGCACTTCTAATTTCTATTACATTAAAATTTTACCTCAAATTAGGGGCAATGGGCCCTAGCCCGCTTGTGAGAGCTCCACCTAGGGACGACTTGGGCCTACATTTACAATGGCCCAAAGTTGAGTCGAACTCCATGTCTAGCTTGGCAAGATCAAGTCTTGGTTTCACAGGGTGCCTTTCTTCTTAGCATAGAAAGGGATACCATGTAGAAGTAGTCTGCTCCGCTAGACTGCCTTTCGCCTTTTCTCGAGAGCGTTGGGATGAAAGAAAATTTGATTACAATTTTGCAGAAAGCTTATAACAGAGAATTTGAATGCATTGAAAGTAAATTGATCTTTGATTGATGAAAGCTGAAATTTAAAATTGATAAAAGAAAAAAATTACAATTGCTGGTGCAGGGGCAGACACCAGTGAGTTTTAAAGATTTTTAAATGTTGAGGAATCGTACTAAACATTTACAAATACCAGAGCTATTTTACAACAGAAATAACTATTACAATGTAAAGAAAATTACAACTCAAACTTGAACTAATATTTACAATGTGCGGTTGAAGTTGGGCAAACTGCGGCTGCGATTGTGTCAAGAGGCTAAGTAAAGCTACGGTCCTCGACATTCTACCCCATTTATTTTGACGATGTCCTCAATGCTATCAATGCATGATAGGCTTCAATCAATGATTTGAAGGCTCCAAAATCTTTTTATTTTTCCCAAGTATTTTCCTCGCTGCTGCATTCAATCAATTTGATCAAGTACTTTTAATGATCTTTTTTTGAAACTCGAGTGATTCAATGGTCAAGATTAACTTCAGCAACCTTCTTTCCAGCTTTCTTTAGTTCAAACACAGGTCGCTTTGGCTCATTTCTAGATGCGTCCTCCTTATCTGTAAAGTATGGTTTCAGCACACTAACATGAAGGACCTTGTGGATTTCGCACCATGAAGGGAGTTCAACTCTGTATGCGACTCTCCCAATCCTTTTCACGATGGGTAATGGTCCAATATATTTCGGTGCCAATCTCGAGTCCTTTGCTTTTGTCAGTTTATAATAATTTTTGTCGGGAAGCTTAACCACTATCAAATCTCCAACATTGAATTCAAGGAAATGGCGCTTCAGATCTGCAGACTTTTTATGTATTTTTGAGCTTTCTCAAGATAACTCTGAGTAATTTCAATATTTTGTTTCCACGCTTGAGAAAAGTTTTTCGCTTGAGGAGAATTGGTACTTTGTTTGATATCCACTGTATGAGAGAGTAACGGTTGCTAGCCAGTAACAATCCCAGAAGGACTCTTATTGGTGGAAGATTTCTTTTGAGCATTGAAACAAATCTGCATCGCATCCAAAAGTTTCATCCAATTTTTCAGCGAAGTAGAGATAAATGCCGAAGATATTCTTCTAGCAAAGAATTTGTCAGTCAGTTTGTGAGTGAAAACTAGAACTCATGCTCAAAGTTGAACCAAGAAGTTTAAACAATTCGATCCAAAATATGCCAGTGAATCGAGGATCTCGATCACTGACAATGTCCTTAGGCAGTCCCCAGTATTTGACAATATGTTTGAAGAAGAGTTGAGCTGTCTCTTCCGCTAATACACACTTAGGTTGCGATGAAAGTTGTGTACTTTAATAAATGGTCCACCACAACGATGATAGTGTCAAAATCCTCAACTTTTGGCAACCCAATAATGTAATCCATCAATACACTTTCGAATGGCCTAGGTGGGACGAAAATGGGCTCCAGCAAGCCTACATTTTTTCTGATAATCTGCCTTATCTTGCTGACAAATAAGATAGGTTTTCACATAAGTTGCAATGTCGTCCCGCATTTGAGGTTAATAGTATGCACATCGTAGTAGTGTACAAGTGCGTTCCTCTCCAGGATGCCCTACCCAAATCGTGTCGTAGCATTCCATAATTAGAGATTTCTACAAATCTCCATCCTTAGGAACATATAGGCGATCTCTCTTAGTCTTCACTACTTGATGAGGTAAACCAAATACTGAGTAGTCGGTCCTTATCCATAAATGCCCAAATTTGGTCTCTTGTGGTTGTGGTAACGATATTTCCTAAAAGAGCAGCCACAGAGCAAATGACAGTCAAATCGACTCATCGACTAAGAGCATCAGTAACATAATTACTAGATTCGAGACGATAGTCTAGCATAAAACTAAACTCGGAAAGAAATTTCTGCCAACGAGCCTATTTGTTCGATAGTTTTGGTTGGGACATGAAGTGACTAACCGCAGTGTTATCTGTCTTCACAATAAATGGAGACCCAAGAAAATAGTGATGCCATCTTCTAAAGCAATGGACTACTGCCAACAATCCTTTTCATGCACCGAGTAACGATGTTCTGTTTAGTTCAATTGCCGGCTCTCATAAGCTACCGGATGTCCTTCTTGCATAAAGATTCCACCAAGTGCAAAATTTGAAGCATCTGCATGGATTTCGAATGGTTTAGTCATATTTGATAAGGCTAAAACTGGTTTGTCCACATGGACTTCTTCAATCTTTCAAAAGCAGTTTGGCATTGGGACGACCTGTCCCGATCTTTATCCTTTTTTGTCGATTCGGTAAGTGGCAGTGCAATTTCTGAGTAGCCTTTCACAATCTTTGATAGTAATTACATAACCTAAGAAATGAACATATATCATGTACAATTTTTGGTGGATGCCAATCTTTGATGGTTGTAACTTTCTTCGAATCCATACGGATTTTACCTTGTTTAATGATGTAACCCAAGAAACTGATAAATGTCTAAGTGAATGAGTATTTAGATTGCTTGGCATAGAGTTTATTCTCTCGTAGCAGATTAAAAACTTGTCTTACATGTCTCGCTGTAGATTACTATGTCGTCCAAGTACACCACGACAAAATCATTTAAGAACTCGTGAAGTACCTTATTCATCATAGTACAAAACGTTGCTGGAGCATTTGTTAAGTCAAAATGCATCACTTTAAATTCAAAGGCTTCATATCTGGTTACCACCGTAGTCTTTACTTCATCTCCCTCCTTGATTCGAACTTGCTAGTATCTGGACCTAAGATCAATTTTTGTGTAATATTTCGCCCGACAACCAGTGGGGTAGGATAGCTATTCTTTACAGTGATCTTGTTCGAGGCTCGATAGTCACAACACAGTCTAAGAGACTCAATTGGCCTTTTTTTAAAAACAACACATGAGCTCCATATGGTGGCTTTGCAGGCACAATAATTCCACTCTCCAACATTTCTCCCAATTGCTTTATAAGCTCTTCAAGCCCAGGCTAAGACATATGATATGGTGCCTTGGCGGGAGGTTTGGTATCTGCAATAAGTTCAATTTCATGATCAATAATCCTCCTTGGTGGCAATTTCATTGGTAATTCGTTCGACATGATGTCCTCAAATTCTCGAATAAGCCTTTTAACGGGTTGTGGAATAGGATCAGTCGCCTTTTCAATCTCCTTTAATTAAAGAGTGTACAAAAAAGAAGGTTCATTTCTTTTGAAACCCTTACTAAATTGCATAGCCATAATACTCCTCTCGCTCATCATCCTAGCTTGTGTTGGGATGATATGCAGCTTATTACCCATCATCATTAATGAATTGAAATATGGCAACACTGCTATTTTAGTATCCCGAAGGAATTCCAATTCTAAAATAAGCTTGAAGTCATCCATTTGAACTGCAGATAAATTTGTCCTTCCCTCGTAAGGACCTGCTTTGATCAGCACCGACTTTGCCACTCCAGCTATTGGTTGAGCAGTGGAGTTGATTGCTTTGACTTTCCCAGTGCCCTTTTCTAGAACAAGTTCGAGTCGCTCTACTTCGGTACATGCAAGGTAGTTGTAGGTAGCACCAGTATCCACCATAGTCCTGATTGGTTTCCCATTGATCTTTACATAAAATGTACATTAGGCCTTTGGCCTTACAAATACGAACCTTTGCTTCTTCCGTCTTTACCTCTTTCAAGGGGTCATTATCCTTTTTAGCAACTCGATGCGACAGTATATTACAACAATGTGAGAATGCACCAATTACATTCTCATCCTCTTCGGAGTTGGTCTTACCATGACAACTAGCTTGTGGGGCATCTTGCTTTGAACTTGATCCACCACTTGGTAGTTAACAATATGCATTCACCATCTATTTCTAAGGACACTCCGACACACGATGAGGTCCTTCGTATAAAAAGCACATTAGTTTAGGAGTGGCATCAAGTCGGCCCTTCGTTGCTTTTTCTTTGTTCCAGTTGTTACTGTTGCTACCGTTAGAGTTCCATTGATGGCTATTACAATAATTTCCTTAAAAGTGACGGGTGCTTTGATAGATTCCTCCCTTATTTTGAGAGTAACGCTCTCTCTCATTCGAGTTCAAGCTGGGTCTATAAGGTTTGTTTCCACCTCCAATTGCTTGATTATTCCCCGAAGGTCGATCTTTTCTCGATTCCATTTGATAGTCACTCAAACATTCGACGACTCCCATGGCCGCGCTCAAATCAATAACTTTCTATCTCTAAAGTTCCGTGCGTGTCCACGATTTCAACCCTTCCATAAAGGTGAAGAGCTGATTCTTTTCCGACATATCTCAAATATTCAGCATATGCCCTGAAAAGGCTTTCACATACTCCTTGATGGAGCTTGTATGTTTTTAGGTCTCGCAGTGCCTGTCGAGCCTGATACTCAACTTTTTTAGGAAAAACTGTGATTTTATTGCTTCCTTGAGGAGATCCCAAGAATCTATTAGGACCCTGTTAAACTGAATATCAACATATTTTGTTCGCCACCATAGTTTCGCATCTCCTCCCAGATACATGGTAGCTGTGGTTACCTTTCTTACTTTGTCTTCAATTGAAGCTGTGAGAAAGTATTGTTCCAAGTCAAATAAGAAGTTTTCGACTTCCTTTGCATCACGTGCCTTTCCATAGGTACACGGTTCAGGAATTCTGAGTCTGGGAGCATACTCATGTACGGAAGCTTGTCAATTGCCCACTGCACGTTGGAGTACTTATAATTGAACTCTCAATGCTTCCATTTCATCCTGCAGATCAGGAATGATTGCAACAGTTTCAGTCATTGCTGCGTATCCTTTTGGTTTTCATCTATTGGATGTGTAAATCACGAATTTTCGACTCTGCCACCTCAACTTTTCCCTTGAGGCCCTCTACAGCATAGCACAACCTAATAGTTGTCTAATCAAGCACATCAACGCGCTATTTAGTACTCTTCTTTCGAGCATCTCCCACTTTAGTGGTGTGTGATATAATTGGATCCATAGCTTTCTTATCGAGGGTCGTGAGCCACAGCTTTGATACCAACTTTCATGGGGTGCATTTCTTCTTGGCACAGAAAGGGACACCGTGTGGCAATAATATGCTCCGCTAGACTGGCTTCCGCCTTTTCTCGATCACGTCGAGACGAAAGAAAATTTGATTACAATTTTGTAGAAAGCTTACAATAGAGAATTTGAATGCATTGAAAGTAAATTGATGTTTGATTAATGAAAGCTAAAAATTACAATTGTTGGTATAGGAGGAGGACACCAGTGAGTTTGAAAGATTTTGAATGACTAGTGCCCCCCTATAATAGCTTTCGAAACAAAATCTAAGTGATAGGAGTAGACGTTTAAATGACGAGGAATCATACTAAACATTTATAAATACCAGAGCTATTTTACAACTGAAATAACTATTATAATTTAAAGAAAATTACAACTCAAACTTAAACTAATATTTACAATATGAGGTCGAAATTGGGCAAATTGCGACTGTGATTGTGTCAAGGGTCTAGGTAAAGCTACGGTCTTTGACACTTGGGCATGTTTTACAAGTCAATCCCAAGTCCAAAATAAGAGGAGGTTTTTTACATTGTATTTAATTTCTTTTAATAAATTATATTTTTAATAAAAAATTACAAGACCCCAGGAACAAGTTTAAAGAACTCTACACAAACCTCTTGGTCAACAAGTTAGGACGACCAACTCATTGACCAATGGGATGAACTTGACTCGTTCAAGAAGTTGAATTGAGTTTGAGTGATCATTGTCGAGTGAGTCAACTTCATTTTATTGCCATCCTTACTTCAATCTCCATTTATTTTGGACACAATGATAGTGTTGGGTCCAATCCAATGCCAATTCACATACAACCCTAAACAGACAAGAAACATAAATAGAGTCGCAAAAAATGTTTGATAGAGATTTCTTTAGGATAGATTTTGTGAAAAAAGTCATTTGTTTGAAAATGAACTATTTTATCATCCCCTGTTTGGTTAGATATTAAAATCAAAATTTCAGTAAATTTTAATAAAAGTTGATACAATTTATTTATTGTTGAAAAGTTGTACAAAATATTAAAATTTCGTATAAAACAGGGGCGAAAGAACGGGTAGTCCAAAATGAGAATAGAAAATGGGAAACCGGGCTACATACAAAGGGATGCTTGTCTCCCTCCAGGGAAACCCCTCGAGTCTCTACACAAAGCAGCGGGGTGCAGAATCCTATTCCGGCTAATACTCAGTTACCAATATAATGGATGGTGGAGAGGAATCGATAGAGGCAGTGGCGGCCGCTCGGTGAAAGAGGCTGAGATCGCTCAAAATGGCTCAGGAACTCCTTAATACGCCAGATGCTAATGCTGAAAATGACAACAATCAAGAACAAAAAGAGGAAGAAGAGCAAAAGCAAGAGTAATTTTCTCTTCGTTTCCCCCCATTTTATTTTTGTTTAGGTAAGAAAGTTGCTGTTATTCATTTGTTCTGTCCATTATCTAGCTTGAAATTTAAGATGAAATTATGTCTTGTTATGGATTGAGTTTTAACAAATAATTAAGTACTGGGTGCTGAAATGTAGTACTTTCTGTTGAAATTGCGGATGATGTTTAATAGTTAAGTTATAAATTTGATGATAAAGGTACTTACAGGCATTGAATATAGGCCTTGCTATGATTTCGCTCAAGATAATTATATGAATCTTCGACTAAGATTGTTCTGAGGCTTAATTTCGCTTAAGATTATAATATGAATCTTGGACTAAGATTGTCGTAAGGCTTTTATATATAAATTTCATAACTAGTTGTCCTTGTCTGTTTCGAAGATTCCAATGATTGTTTCAATCAATCATGAGCGGAACATCTTCAAAAAACTAATCTTATTTTGCATTTTTGCTGAATTATGAAATTGAGAATTTTCATATGATTTTTCCGAGGATTGATGTAATTGGGCTTTTAAATCACACCACTGAAGTAGCTACCTAATTTAGTAGCTTGTGTACAAGTATTTCCATTGAAGATAATTTTGCAATATTAATCATTTTGTTTTGGAAGCAGTTTAATTCTCTAATATCTTTGACATATATTACACTAATATAATGTTTACATACAAACAGCAGCATGTCTTGTGAGAAAATGTAGAACACATAACCGCAATTTAAATTTTCTGCTGCATTCTGTCAATTTTTGGGTTATCAGCATTTTCTTATTGTGAAGTACAGAAGGCATCAATTTTGTATTTTTATTTAGGCTAGAAGGTTGTGATTCGGAATGAAAATGTGTAGATGGTGATTTTTCCATTGGAACTAGTCAAATTATGAACATGCTTGGTTGTGCTTAGAATTTACCATTCTAGATTTTTTTGAAAGCCTCTATTCTAGAAAGTTAGTTAAAACTGACTTTCAATAACACGTAACTTTTTCTTATTAACAAAAACTAACTTCGAAAAAAAAATAATGTTTGGAAAATAAGTAACATAAGTGACATACTTTTAAGCACATCCATATATAGGCTGGGCCCATTTATTAACTTTTTATTGGAGATACTTGACTCTTATATATGTAGTAAACCAGAACGTGTTTAATGCAAATTAAGTCAGATCTGATTCCATTAGCAAATGTATATTGATGAGACTAGAGTCATAATTTTGTGGCTCACTTCCTGTTTCCATGAGATTTTGCAATTTATGCTCCATATAGAAGTCAATTAAGATTCTCATTTCTCAAATTTCCTTAATAACATCCGGATGAGTTATTGCCACAAGAATTGGCCATTTCTGGATCCCATACTTGATCAATTTCATTACTGATATAATGTATTTTTATAAATTCTTAAAGAGATTTGAATCATTCTAATTGCCGTTGGCATTTAATGGTTTTGAACTAATATAATGTGCTTTTCTGTGGCTTCAATGGGCAACAGTAGATGCAAGTTTTACTGTGCTATTTTCCAGAATTTATGGCACAAATATGGTCAACACTGTACAGCCGAGATACCTATATTATCCACATCACATTTTCATTTGTTTGCTTCTGGTATATAAACTTGGCCGAGGTGATCATTGGTTCCATTATTTGTTATGAACAGTTGTGAGATACTCTGTTGGCAGATTAATGCTCCATTTGTCTAAAATTGTTATAACTTTTTAGGGTGAATAGTATTAGGTCCCACAAAATGTGTGGATAATAAACGAGTTGTAGCTATGAATGTGAGGTTGAAATTAATGTTTGACATTAAGTCGATAAAAAGGAAATTATTAGTAACTTTTTAGGAAACATGTAAAACAGACTTATTTTCATGAGCTTATCCTCTATACTTTTTGTTTGGAGACGACCACTCTGGCATGATGATCGCCACTAATTGATTGCTCTTTGTATATTACAATAAGATCTTTGTATGTAGTTTTGATCATGCTTTACGACTAGTAAGTGTTTCCATCCTGCAAATGTTCTTATCTTAGCATAGCTGGGAATGGTGTTGTATTTATAAGCATCCTACGAAATGATTTGTAAGGTTGTATGTGAACTAATTGGCGTGAATAAACCGTGTTTTTTGCAGAGCAAGAAGAAGCAAAGAGGAGATTGAAAGAAGATGGCAAAAATGGCGTCCAAGACTGAAGGGAAACATCAATTCTAGACCGTGAATTACAAAGCATGTTCTACAATCATTTTTAGTTTGTATAACTCTGTTTTCTTAGAATCTTTAATAGAATGTATTTCACTCAATCTAGGTTTATTTAAGATGCTTGAAACATTAGACGTAAATTTTATGTATCAAATGACCTGATGGAAATTAACAATGAAATGTGATTTAAAAGGACATAACTACAATGGTTGAGTTCATAAATAATGCTATTGTTATTGTAAAGGTAGATTGTACATCACAGTTGTTTTTGTAGCCATGAACTCGAATTGTATGAGTTTAACGTGACTGAATTGAGCTATGTACATCAAGTTATTTTTCCACCTGGGCTTGGCAAACCCAATTGGCCTAAGACATTGAAATGCTTGAATTTGAAACTCTTCATTGTAAAATCAAGATTGGAGCGAGATGCAAATGTATGAGAAGTTTTTATATTTGGCCATTTGTAACATTTTTAAGCCTCTACACATGAACAAATTCTTGGCAGTTTAGTTTACCTAACCGAAAGGTTGATAAACAATAAGAGTTTTGCTAGTTGTCCAGGGCAAAATGGGTCCTGGACGAACAAGGGGCTAGAGTGACAGGCCCATGTCACTCTAGCAAAACTCTTAACAATAATGCCGCTTGTCCAGGGCAGCACATTTTATGCTCCAGAAATTCAGGGCCCATGTGGCTCTGGACAATGGCAGCACTCGTTGATTAATTTGCTCGAAATGAAGATTGTACAAGATGCAAGTTTATCATAAACACTATCGTAGAAAAACATGTACGGTAACAGTCATAGTACCAATCACAATGCAACTTATTACTTTTCTATATGTGTGTGTGTGTATTTTTTTTTTTTTTTTTTTTTTCAACATCAACATGACAACATCACTTTCTTCATTATCATTAAAAATAACATCCTCTAACTCTAATTCATCTAATGATAGATTAGCAATTTCAAGTAGCCTTACACCTTCAACCTTCAAAAGTATTAAATGAGCCTCCGCCAATGTACCACATTTTGAATTTTCTTTTTGAATAAATATTGAGGTGATTTGTTTAAAAAGCCTAGTTAACAATAATGTTTGGTAAAATAAGCTATGGTCAATACTTTTTGATTAACTAACCTTTAGTCTATTTTATCACGTATTAAAAGTCTTAAATACCCTTCATTTGGAATATCTAAAATATCCAAAAACAAAAATGTACCAAATTCCCCAAACATAAATCCCTACTTTCATTCTAACTTCTCATGCACAATTCAAAACCAACGGGAAAATGGCATACTGCCTTTTAAACGATTGAATGCCGTTTTAACTAATTTTATGTTTGTATCACTTTACATTTCTTCATATTTACATAAAATTAATGAAAACAAGTTTTAATTATATTTTGAATGAAATTGAGTGTCTGTGATCCAAAATGATATGCTATCATTATAAACAATTTGTCTACGTTTTAACTAACGTAGACAATTTTTCACTAATTTATAGTGAAATCGAGACCTCATAATCCAAAATGTCATGATGTTTTAAATGGTTAGGTGTCGTTTCAACTAATCTCATATTCGCTTCACTTTATTTTCACTCGTATGCATATGACAATGAACGAGTGAAAGTTTTCATTGCATTTGAACCCGAGTAATGATATAAAGTTCACAGAATAATGATAAATACTATTGTTTCATGAATAAACCGAATTGATATAACTACGAACAAAAGTAAGTAAATTCCGATTATATTATAATTATGAGATAAGATATTCAATAAATTGTCTCGTTTAACTTGTACAAGTCTTTTAAGATGTTCCAAATCTGATTGACTCATTTTATAGTGAAATCAAGGCCCCATCATCAAGTACAACATGATGTCGTTAAAAAGCTAAATAATTCAAATTCCAATTATGAGATCAGATACTCCACAAATTAGCTTGTTTCAATTGTATAAGTGTTATATGATGTTCTAAGACATGATCAACTCGTTTTGGATTGAAATCGAGACCCTATAATTCAAATGTCATGTTGTTGTTTTAAATGATTGGGTGTCGTTTCAACTAATTTCGTATCCGCTTCACTTTATTTTCACTAGTATGCACATGAAAATGAACGAATGAAAGTTTTTATTATATTTGGACCCGATTATCGACATAAAGTTCACGCGATAATAACCAGCACATTTGTTCCGTGAGTAAACAACATTAGATTTAACGACGAACGAAAGTAAGTAAATTCTATTATATTCTAATTATGAGATAATATATTCAACAAGTTGACTCGTTTAACTTGTATAAGTTGTCTAAAATGTTCCAAGTTTTATCGGCTCTTTTTGGAGTTTAATCAAGGCCCGAGACCCAAAACATCATGATGTCAATGAAAATGTCAGGTGTTGTTTCAACTATATTTGTATTTGTTTTACTTTATGTTCACTTGTATCGATATAAAATGAATGAATGCAAGTTTTTACTACATTTGGGTATCGAGAACCCGTAATCTAAAACGCTACCGTTTTAAATGATTGGGTGTCGTCTAATCAAATTTCATATCTGCTTCACTTTATCTTCACTCGTATGTACATGACAATGAGCAAATGGAAGTTTTCGTTACATTTGGACTTGAGTATCAATATAAAGTTCACACGATAGTGATCAACAATATTATTTTGTGAGAAAATTACACTAGACTTTACTGCGAACGAAGATACAGAACTCTAATTCTGTTATATTTTATTGTGAGTTAAGATAATAAATTAGCTCATTTTAGCTTGTAAAAATCATTTTTTTTTGGTTTATTCATGCCCTTAATCACTTGAAAGTTTAAGATGAAATTTTCAACTGCATTTCAACGTGACCATCGATACATTAATTCAAACTATAATGAGTCACTCTATAATCTGGTTGGAAATTATACTACACTATATTTGAAAAATAAAAAAAAGTAGGTAAGTGTGGTATGCAAAACATAGCACATGTAGTCATTCAATGTGTACAAGTCATGTATGATATTTTAAACACTGCTTTAATAATTTTGGAGTGAAATCGATATCTTGTAACCCAAAAAGACATCTGGTCATTTTAAACGTATAAGTGATGTTTTTACTCATTTCATGTTTGTTTCGGTTTATTCACGCCTATAACCACTTGAAAGTTTAAGGATGAAAGTTTTAACTACATTTTGTCATTTTAAACGTATGGTTGTCTTTAGACTTTAGGGTTTCGGGCTTAGGATAGAGGATTTTATGTATATGGTTTAAATGTATGGTTGTATTTATAGTATTGGATGATATTCCAAACATTATTTTACTAGTTTTAGAGTGAAATCAAGACTCTTTGACTTAAAATGGCATATTGTTGTCTTACTCGTAGGGGTGTCATTTAGGGTCTAGGATATAAAAAACATCGAATGTGTAATCATTCAACATGTATAAGTGAAATTCGAACCCTACTACCCAAAACAACACGTGATCATTTTACAAGTATGATTGCTGTTTAGGGTATATAAAGTATAGAACATTTCGAACTAAAATCGATCCACTACCTAAAATGGCACGTGAACATTTTAGTCGTATGACTTCCAATTACATTATTGTCACATTTTTTTTCACTCGTATCTACATAAAATGAACAAATACAAATTTTTATTAAATTTGGATGCTAGTGTCGATACAAAGTCACGAAATAATGACCAACACTATTATTTAATGACATGTTGTCATTTTAAATGGCTAGGTATCATTTGAATTAATTCATGCCCGTTTAACTTTATGTGCATTAGTATTCACATGAAAATAAATGAATGTAAGTTTTCACTAAATTTGGGCACCGTAGTTTATATAAAGTTCACGTGGTAGTAACTAACACTATTGTTTTGTGAGTAAACTACACTGGGCTTCATTAACAACGAAGTACTGAGCTTCATTAACAACGAAGTTAAGTAACTCAAATTCCATTATATTCTAAGATAAGAAAATCAACAAAATAGCTCGTTTAACTTGTACAAATCTCATAAGATGTTCCAAAATATGATTGGCTACATTTTGATGTCATGATCCACACAAAGTTCAAACGATAGTGAGTAACACCATACATTTGTTTGGAAATTACACTACACTCGACAACGAACAAAAAACATAATACATCTATTCGTTCAAGTATATAAATCTTCTATCATGTTTCAAACATTCATTTACTAGTTTTAGAGTGAAATCGAGACCCCATGATCCAAACGATACATAATAATTTTAAAGTATGAGTGTCGTATATACTAATATCATGTCCGTTTCGCTTCATTTTCACTCATCTAATAGCGCATGCAATCGTAACTCTTTGCTTTTGCCAATCGAAAAGTTGAACACATTGTTTACCAACTTTAGTCGAATAGTCCTCCGAAAGGGCACTGATGAAACTGTGTGCATTAGTGAGCTTTGCTGATTCTATAATCTCCTTTTGTGGCTTCATCTTAATCATAAGAACGTTTTCGGATTAATGTGGCCAAAAAAGTTGGCTCTTGTTGGACCAATCCGATATGTTTCCTTAAAGATTTGAGCATCAGTTTCTTGATGTCTTTGCCTGTGTGAATTTTACAGTATCATTAACATCAGATAGTAATTCGGAGACTTAAGTGTGTGTTTTACAAAAAATGATTGAATACTTCTAGATAATATTGTCATAGATATGCTGGTCAGAGTAAACACAAATGAAAATTCTCACTGATATGCTTAGTGTTTCTATCAACTTCTGCATCGCCAGGACTAAAATTTTAGGTAATAGAATAGTCTTAAGAATAGCAACACCAGCATAGATAAGATAAGATGAAGTAAAATAGTTCTAAAGCAACACCTACAAGTTATTCCGTTTAGACTTTGCATAAGCTACTACTGAAGCATCTAGCACTGAATTTAACCAAAAATAAATGTTAAAAGCAAGAAAGAATGATTTAGCAACATGTGTATTACTAGGTTTAATAGAAAATTACCAAACTTCAAAAATATAAAAAATGTCTATGTGCAAATCTACAAACCAGTGAACTAATTGACTGATGAAATGTTGCATGAATGAAAACTATGATTCAAGTCATTTACTAGTACATCGTTGATCAGACATGAGTCACGTGCAAGGTAGAGAATTTCCTTATATTTTTATTTTAGCATATAGACTGTTTACACCTCTAATTTTTAGAATCAATGAAAACAATAGGCATCCTTAGCATCCATTTCATGGGCCTTGAATACGTCTAGTCAAAAGTTGCTTTTTTTTATAATTAAACATGATTATTGTCATTAGAATATACCAAAGAGCGTAAGCCCTTCG